GACACACCAGTTCAGGTTATTGCATATGATAGAATATCTATATATATAAGAGGCTAAGTGACTGACCGAATGTCCGTCTGACCATCCAACCGACCAACCAGCCGGTACATATGACACACACTGGCAATTTAAAAGTAAACATTGATTCAAGCATGTGCGATACATATAAAGCTCTCGCTGACGCCAATCGCACACATGTGTTTTGATCTGTCATTATTGATCATGAATTTGCTTTTTTTTAATGCTATAAAACTTTATTGAGAGAACTTTAACAGTGAAGTATTCAACATAAGATTAATCTGTGTGTCTTCAGATCATCTTCCTTTAAATGGCTGGTTTTCCTTCCCCTATGGTAACTTTGCTTGTTTTTGTTGACATTTCTATTATAGAGAAAGGGCGAATAACAATATTAAAATATTTCTTCTAATTAATTTCCTTTCAATGTGCATGGATCCATGCACCGGGTCACTAGTATACACATGAAATACTGTGGCTCTTTCTCCAGTCTTCTACAGCCCTTCCCTCACTGTTCTTTTCAGCCTCCACTAACCGTCTCTCGGTGTCCTCCAGCCTCCGTCCTCACCAGGCCCCAACGCCAACACCACATGTTAAAGCAGCACTACACTCTCAGTAGCAATTTCTGTTTCACTTAGCCTTTGCTAAACCACCACCAAAACTGAGTAGCTGACGCTATAACACATTACAGCTTCTCATGTCTCTGTGGGCGGGTTAGGTGTTTCTTCTGCTGGCTGTGCCTCGGCTCACTCATGTGGCTGCGTTCAGCTGGAGCATCAGAAGGGCTGTCAGCTGGTGTTGGCTGTCACCTGGGGGGAGGGGTCAGTTATCCTCCAAGTGACTTTTTTCCTTGTGTGGTGGTCTCAGGGCAGAGCTTCACTGGAGCCAAAATAGGGCTCCAGACTTACAAAGGCCTGGCCTCAGAAGTGATGTATAATCAATCCCTTTAGCCCAGGGGTGGGCAAACTTTTTGACTCGAGGGCCACAGTGGGTTCTTAAACTGGACTAGAGGGCTGCAACAAAAGCATGGATGGACTGTTTGTGTGAATTAATATAAATTCAAAGTAAACATCATTACATAAAAGGGTATGGTCTTTTTTTTTTTTTTTTTTTTTTTTTAGTTTTATTCATTTCAAACGGGCCGGATCCGGCCTGCGGGCCGTAGTTTGCCAATGGCTGATTTAGCCGTATTATGCACATTATTTGTCAAAGCAAGTCTCATGGCCAGCCCAGGCTCATGGGGCGGAGAAATTGACCACATTCTGGTAGGAGCAGCAGCAAAGTGACATGGCAAAGGATGCGATGACCGGGACAGGAGGAATTGTGGACATATTTTGCAATCAGTCACAACCTGGCCCTATGCATTTGTTTTCATCCATTGTTTAATTTAAAAATCGAAACATTGGGTAATTATAAACTGTTTATTTCATTAATTGAACTAATTATGTCATTACATTAAAATATTCAATATACCTTAGATCCTACTCAAGTCTGACAAAATTAGTGATTGAGTTCAGTAACTGTATATAATTCTGATCCCAAAACAATCATTTAACTTAGGCCATCTGATTGTGACTGTTATTCAATAAATAATAATTACATTGTCACCTATGTTCTTATTGTGTTTTTTTATTTCCTTTGTAGCAACATCGTTTTGTTGTATCAAAAATTTTAATCTCTATATTTCTATTTTTAAACCCTTTCCAGTTTTTTTTAATTGAGATGAATTCATCTGCATTAAAAATGACAGATTACTTTATTAGGTACCATTAGGAACAATATGATTGTACATGTATGATTTTTCAAAATTTAGATTTTCAGGTAATTAAAATCTTTAAGATTTTCTTTAAGCATTATTGTCATTAAAGCACTGGAAGTGTATAATAATAATCTGCAAAAACAAATAAGTTAATCATAACCTATTGCAAACTGAATGTACCAATCAAAAATAAATATACCAATACATGATCCCCTAATACCAATACATGATGCCCCTAATTTCAGACTTAACAACTCTCTACTTACTTAAACAGTCCTTTTTTTGTATTTCTATATTTAAGATGACATTGAAGTCAGTATTTTGTTTTTTATTATTATTTATGGTTCTGATAAAAATATAAGAAAATATCATCTTTATGTCCATGTCTATATATGAAATTTTATATCCCTCATATATAAATTCTTATAGAAAAATTTGTTAAATATATTGAAATATGTTAATTTCAATTACTATTAGCATTTTTGAAAACACCATATGTTAAAAAGGCATGTATTTTTTAAAAATATATATATTTTTTTAAATATATTTTTATTGATTTTTTAAAAATATATTTTATTGATTTTTTTTACAGAGAGGAAGGGAGAGAGATAGAGAGTTAGAAACATCGATGAGAGAGAAACATCAATCAGCTGCCTCCTGCACATCTCCTACTGGGGATGTGCCCGCAACCCAGGTACATGCCCTTGACCGGAATCGAACCTGGGACCCTTCAGTCGACGCTCTATCCACTGAGCCAAACCGGTCTCGGCTTTTAAAAATATATTTGATAATAATATTTAAAAGCTAGTTACCATAGGATTCTCTTTTAGTTTTATGTTATATATTAGAGGTCCAGTGCATCGATTCATGCACCGGTGGGGTCTCTGGGCCTGATCTGCAGCTTTCTGACATCCCCCGAATGGTTCCAGACTGTGAGAGGGCACAGGCCAGGCTGAGGGACCCCAATGGTGCATGATCTGGGCTGGGGAGGGACCGTGGGAGGACTCCAGGGCTTGTTCAGTCCATCTTGCCCAGTTCTGATCAGCTGGACCCCAGCAGCAAGCTAACCTACTGGTCAGTGCGTTTGCCCCCTGGTGGTCAGTGCATGTCATAGCAACTGGTTGAATGGTTGAAAAACAGTTGGACACAACATATTAGGCTTTTATTATATAGGATTATATATAGTAAATTTTTTATATGTGGTAAAATAAAAATACCATAACATATTTCTAGGCAGTAAACTTTTCATGATTGATTGCAAGGCTCCAAACAACCTTTTTACTGTAGCTCTGAGCTTCCAGGTGCATGAGTAAGTCACCCAGGGCAAACCACAGCTGTGGGAAATCAGCAAGTCACTGTCAGTTATGACTCAGAGGAAGAAAAACTGTTGACTATAATTAGGTGTGACAGTTTCTTAATGGTCAAACTTAATCACCCTTTTTAAGTTGGGTTTCATCTCTGCATGTGTCATGATCTTGTCCTGAAATGTCAAAATACTGAGGAAATATATAAACACAGCAAAGAAATATAGAAGTTGAATCTCAGAGCCAGCTCCCTTTATCTGACATCCATTTCTAGAGAGGGATATTGCCTTGGAATTTGGGGAATCTTTCTTTTTAAAAAAAATCTTTATTGTTGAAAGTATTACATATGCACCCCTTACCCCCCATTAACCTCTCCCAACCCAGCCCCTGCCCCCTACCCCAGGCCTTCACCACCCTACTGTCTGTGTCCATGGGTTATGCATATATGCATAGAAGTTCAATGGTTGATCTCTTCCCACACACCCTCCCTCCCCTGCCTTCCCTCTAACGATGAGTGGATTAAACAGCTAGGGATTATTTCTTATAACAATGTTAACCCAGGACCATGTGCATGCACTAGCCTTCCTACAGAGACATCTCTCAAGGCCCAGCCTCTAAGTCCTGAGGTCTGTAGGACAACCTGCTTTGGAAGCAGAACCAGAGATGAAAGCCTCAAGGGTGAAACACCTAGAGATCTTCCACAGCTAGAGCCACTCCTCCCCCCACACTGCACACAGACTGGCTTTTAGGAAGGAATCAAGATTCAAGTTATAGGAGAGGGAGGGTGAGCTGCATCTGTCCAGTATTCTCACCTGCAGCAACATCTGTCCTTAAATCAGAGCCTATTACCAGTTCCTATGTGAGAATACCTGTTGGGAAGCATGAGACTTGGTTGGAAAGTTTGTAAAGAGGGAATTCTGATAAAAGGGAAGAGTGTGGAAGGCCACCTGCCCTGTTTATTGGAATTCGACTTAGGGGAAACTTTGGGGAGTGTCGAAGGCAGTGACTCTAATTACTCCTTGACCTTCCCAAACAAGTCTGTGCACGAGCAGACCCCTGGGTGTTTACTGGAATCCTTATGTTTAATCCCCGGGTGCCCTTGCCTAGAGGACAATGTGAACACAGGAGTCCTCCCAAGGTTACTCACCCTACTGATTATATCTAAAAATAAAAACTGCAATAAAAGCCTAAGGAGGCAGGCAATCAAGGCTGCCTGGTCTTTGGCCAGGCCGTCCCTTAGTCTCTCTTTCACAGCAAACGTTGTGTCAGAGTAATCCGTTTATCCATCCTTCAGGGCTGCTAGTCAGCCCTGGCAAATACCCACCTCAAATTCTAGCTTCTCAAATGTCACCTCTCCTCCGCGCTGAAGCTGTCACCTCAACCAGACATTTCATATGCATTTTGCAATGGGCTTGAATTCTCATAATCTTCCCTCTCGAGCCTATTACTTTTATTTTTCTTTTCTTGGTTAGTGGCATCACTATTCAGTTGACCGAAATAGAAATATAGAAAGCGCCTGTAGCTCCTGTCCCTCTGCTTCCTTTGAGTCTGCTTCTGATAGGTTCCCTTGCAGCCGTCTGACGTATTGGTGCTGCCCTAGAACAGAATCCGTCACCTTTAACATGGGTGCTGGTAGTATGTTCCCAAATATTCTCCCACCCCTTCTCCCTTCAACTAAACCTCTACACTACCAGCAGAATATGTACCTGTGTGTCTCAGGCATGAAATGACCATGTCTTTGTCCAAAACCACTGATGATTTCCCCATTGACTCTAAGATAGAGACCTAACTCCTTGGCCTGTTAGTCAAAGGTTTTACTAACCTGGTTCTTGGCTCTTTTCTAGGCTCACTATGAGTTTTTCTCATGATATAACTTCATGTCATACTATGTTATCTAATTAGGTGTTTTTTTTCCCTTCTAGATGAGCAAGAGATAGTACAAAAACGAACTTTCACAAAATGGATCAACTCTCATCTGGCCAAGGTAAAAGAAACTACCAGAGTTCTGTGTTTACCTAGTTTGAGCCAATAAATAATTAAAGGTACAGTATAAAGTCCTGCTGCTTTTGCTGTGGTCACAATTACTAATCAGTGATATTGTCAACCCCATCAGTTTAACTGTTGCCTACGTATAGCACTTGCTCACATTGCTCTGGGAGAAATGAAAGGATGCCTAGAGCCAAGAGCAGGTATCCATGTCAATTCAAGGAATCTTGAAATATTCATCCAGTTATTTCTCCTGTCCTAGGATGAGTGACCTATGAAAAGAATTGGTGCTGGATTTTCTTTTCTGTGTTTGTTTCGATTTGGAACAGAAGGCAGCAAGGAGCGGTGTGCCCCGAGCAAAGAATTCTATCTGAGGAGGTCATGCTAGTGTCTCTTGTGCTTTGATAGGAAGTAACTGTGGTGGGAGGACACTAAGAGGACTAAGCATTCCCAGATTATTGACACTGACGTTAGGTTGTATCAGTGACTGTATTTGTACAGTGTAATGACTGAACATAAATACTGATATAAAACTAACTCCAATACAGCTATATGATAATAAAACTAGAGGCCCGATGCACGAAATTAGTGCAAGGGGCTCGGCCCTCGCAGCTGCAGCTTGCTTTAGCCCTCACAGCCCCAGCTTCATCCAGAAGGTCGTTTGGCCGTCTGGTCTGATTAGCATATTATGCTTTTATTATTATAGATTAAACTCTTATCTTGCTGATGAAAAATATGCAAACAAAAAAAAATCACTGCATTTGTAAAAATAAATACAGACAATGGGACAATTGTCTGACTTGAGTGAGAGGATCCTTTGGCTGAGAGCTGTGCCTACAGTATTCAAGACAGAGCTCTATGAGCAGTTTTTGATAAGAGATTTCCCCAAAGTCTCTTTTATGGTTCAGAAGCAAACAAAACACGGCAATGTATTTCAGCCCAACTGTACAAATTAACTGCTTACTGTGGTGTCTCTAAGAGTCTTTGGTGACAGAAAAAATGTTAGTGAGACACTTTCCCAGGCCTTGAAAAGCTCGCAGTCCAGCCAAGATTGAAGACAAGAACAATGTGTCTAAATACAGGATGAACTGGATGATCTCCCCTACAATCCCTTCCCAAAAGCCACGTGGTGAGAGGGAATTCTCTGGTCCAGGGGTGCACCCAGCTTCTACCCTAGGAACGCAGCAAATGCCTCTCATTTTTTTAGGTCCTGGCCGGTGCTGGCAGCGATCACTTACACCACACAATGAACATCCATTGGGAAGGTTATTTCTTTCTTAGATGAAAATAGAGTTATTGTTTTTTCATATTGTTGGAAGATTACATGCTAATTGTAAATAACATTAACAGTATACCTCTTACAAGTATAAAGAAAGTAAAAATGACCTCAAATCTTTCAATCCTGATAGAACCATCCCTAACATATTAATCGCCACTTTTCTACACAGGGACACATGATTTCACAAAAGTGGTTTTATAGGATCGTGATCTGTTGGCCTCTGTTTCATGCAGCACATCTTTCCATGTCAATAGTCACAGAGCTACATAGTCATATTAATGGATGAATAATTTTATTATAAATATATAAGTTATAAATCATAAAGTACTCAGTATCTATCGATGGTCATTTACATGGTTTCTAGTTGGTATTATACAGAACCCTACATTGAAAGTCCTTGAGCCTATATCTTTGAACACTTGTGTGATTTTTTTCTTAGGATAAATTTCTAGAAGTGGGTGGCTAGTCAATAGGCATATGCATTTATAATTTTAATATATACCAAGAGCTTATCTGAATGCCCATTTCCTTACACTAGTAAGGGACTTTAAAGCTACAGTGTTTTCTAATCTGATTGGCTAATATAATTTATAATTAATTTTTAATTTGGTTTAAGTAAGGTTGAATACCTTTGTGAAAGTTTTCCAAGTAAAATTCTTAGGACACATTCATCTATTATGCACCAAATCCTTAAAAAGAAGGGGAAGTTTGAATAGATGCCATGCCATACAGTATGTGAAGGGTCTTTGTGGAGCAATGATCTTCCAAGAGTTTATTTTCCAGTCTGTTTTGTAATTGCTGTTTTATCATTGCTTCAAGTTGCTTTACACAGTGATGTGGTAACTGGCTATTGCAATAGGCTTTACCGATGTGTGTTGTTTTTTCTGGTTTCTTCCAGCCCTGCTCTGTGACCATTTCCCACCTAAATATCAGCCCTCCCTTTACTGTGGAGTTCAAACCTCTTTCATTTGTGAAGTCATTGCTGACTACATGCGAGACAGAGCGCCTGTCCCCTAGCAAATGCTCGGAGTTTCCCTGCACCCCCTCCCAGGGCCATCCCCCTCCTTTCCCTGGGTTTCCTGCCTCTGGTGTGGGAGGATATGAAATCTCTGCCCTAGTCCAGAACCTACAGGGTAGGCGAGGTTCAGCATGCCTTAGATTATCTGGTACTGTTCCCTATCTCAGGCTCCCGGTAACATTGTGAATCACTAAGGCATGCGCTAATTCTTGGAATTTCTTTATAAGTCCCAATAGCTCTAAGCACAGTGCTGAGTACCGTACAGAGGCGTTTGATAAAACAACAGCAAAGAGTCTATATCTTCTCTTGATTTTTTTTATAATAGTAAATGCATTTCTGGGGAGAAAAGTAACGGTGCGTTTCTGGCTCTGTGCTAAGTACTTCACACAGGCTATTTTACAGCCTTCATCTCCATAAATTGGTGCTGCTGAGATTTTAATCCAGACATGAATCTAAAGTCTGCATGGTTTTTCCTACTTTGCACATTTCTGCATCTATATTATTATTTTGAAAGAATAAGAAAATTATGAAAATCTCCACAGCTGCTCCATTATAACCCTAATATGATTGAATGTTTTTGTTCTTTTTTTTTCCTCTCTCCTCTGCACTAGTGACTTTTTCTTTCCTGAATTACCTGGAAAATTGAAAATGGAAGCAGAACAAGGATACTTATACTTGCTATCCTGAACTTATTTATACTGATGCTGTGGTATCTTCTCAAACATAGCCAAACCCGCAAATTCACTGGAGAACACTTTCCTTTCCCCACTCACTTATATTGCAAAAACACTGCGAAGATCAAATTTGACCCCATTACCCTTCCTCGGCTGTTGACAATTTCAGGACAGCTACAGAGATGAGCTTTATGTCTTCATCTGTGCCAGCAGCTGATCACATGACCGCCTATTATCCCTTTCTCTCTTCCCCAGCTTTTGCCCACCTACATCCCTGAGTTTCTATTTCCAGCCCCATTCCTTTCTCATTCTCCCTCCCATCTCTGCCCCATGCCTGTCCATCTCGAACTCTCCCAGGCTCTCTCCGCCTCCATCACAAGACTACTCAACCTTCTGTCTCTATCTCCCTCTCTCCATCCCCATTTCTATCCTCATTTTCATCGCTAGTCCTACCTGTAACCTGTACCTCTGAAAGCACATGTGCCTTCCAGACTTCATAGTCTCATGGCGGTCACACTTCCATACGCACCCAAATTCAAGGGGAAGCACACACTGGCCTTCCCCCTGCGGTGTGCTCGCTTACTCCTGGGAATGATAATCTCTCTCCTGCAACAGAAACAACGTCAATTTCTTGTCTTTGATTCCGTGTCTGGACCAGGGCATCGTGTCACTTTTCCTGCTGTCCCTGTGAGGAGACTTGCTCCCAAAGCAATTCTGTGATGCCAGAGTGTGCTTGGTCCCATCACTCTAGCACTTTGCGGGCATGACAGCAAGCATATACATGTGCTCATGCACACACACACACACACACACACACACACAAACTCATGTTTAGTCGCTAGGCTCCACAGAAGCATATGAAAACAACTTCTCAAATTTTTGGCCCTCGGCTCCTGGTCACCTATCGGCAACACACAGTTATCTCCCCTGACAACAGGTTTTCACCCACAGAGCAGACCAGCCCTGTGTCAAGGTCTTTCCTTATCCTCCGGAGGTTCTTGAAGCCAATGTTTCCTCCTTCTGTTTGCTTGTTAAATAACCAAGGCCAGTGGTAGGTCCTACAACTAAGAGCCACCTGCCCCCAGGATGGAGCCGTGACTGCTGTCCCCTTTGAAAGGATCTGGTGTCCTGTAATTTGTGGGGTCAGATTGAGTCTGGTTTGGTGTGTAGCCTGTGTGCTTGTTTACTTTGTCCAGTAAATGCTTGACCAACACCAATCAGCTGGGGCTGCTGTCACAAACGTCAGAGGCTGGGGCACATAAACAGCAAGCATTCATTTCTCACAGTTTGGGAGGCTGCAAGTCCAGAGTCAAGGAGCCAACGGATTTGCTTCCTGGTTCCTGATGAGAGTCCTCTTCCTGGCTGTGTCCTCATGTGGTGAAGAGAAAGGGCAAAAGAGAGAAAACCTGATTGATTTTCTGGCTTTTGTTCAAGGGTTACTAAATTTTTTCAGTGAGAATTTCTTTTTAACATCAAAATATTTAAACAAGCCCACATAATGGTAGTTTTACTTTTATTTATCCAGGCAATAGATTATAGTTACTGCTCATAAAAATGCCATAGTAGCCCAGGGCTCTGGTTGAACTGGTTGGGAATTTTTGATCTAGAGCAGCGATTTTTTTATTTTATAATTTTGTTTTATTGCTTAAGGTATTACAAAGGGTAGTGCATATGTCTCCTTTTCTTCCCCCTTGACCTTCCCCCAGCCTCCCCTACCCCCCAGTGTCTTGTGTCCATTGGTTATGCTTATATGCATGCATACAAGTCCTTTGGTTGATCTCTTACCACCACCACCACCGCCCTCCTCCCCCATCCTCCCCGGCCTTCCCGCTGTAGTTTGACAGTCTGTTTGATGCTGCTGTGCTTCTCACTCACTCATATATGGGTAATCTCTGCCCATTTTTATAAGGACACTAATCCCATCATGGGGCATCACTTCGCAACCTCTTCTACACCTAGTTACTTTCCAAAGGCCCCACTTCCAAACACTCCCACAGTGGGGGTGGGGGGTGGAGGCTTCCACATTT